AAATGTTTCTTTCCTCAGTTGTGAGTTTTCTGAGTAAACATATATCATTGAGATTGGTGGGAGACTTGACTTTGGGAATAATGCAAAATTCAATTGTCAGAGATAGAGTTGAAGATTAGAGGCTGTTTAGAAACAAAACACACATTCATTCAAGCCACTCATATGCTTGTTTAGAATTCAGTCAATCCCTCACAAGTCAGAATTGTCTCTAGAGCTGTTGGAAACAAAAATGAGGGCTGGTCACTATTCGCAGTGACCTTGAGAAATCTCGTTAGGTTACTTATTCTCTCTGCAGCTCAATATCCTGGCTTAGGCAATCAAACAACAACTATCTACTCAGAGCTTTGGGATGATTAAGTGAATTATTTTATGCAAGGAGCTTAACATACTACTACCTCACCTAAACACTGTCATCCTTGCTAGCTACAATTCCATTTTGCAGACACTTCAAGCAGACCCAAGGATTGAAGGTATACGGTAAGTTGCTGACTTTCTCTGAACCACAACTTCAACCTTAATACTCTAGGTGTTCTTAGAAAAGAAGTGGATTCTTCACACCTGTTAGCAATCATGACTTTGGTAATGAGATGTATCAAATCTAAGGATTTCTCTTATCAAAGTTTAAAGATTTTGTGTGCTGAGACCAATAGTACTATCTAATGAGTTTTGTGAAAACTGACCCCCACTTCAGTTTTGATTTGACTGTGGACACCAGGTCAGTGTGCTGAGTTCTTGAAATAACCAAAGGACCCACAACAAGCAAGAGCTAGCAGATCATAGTAGAAGCTTGATTCCTGAGGCTACCAGGCAACAGTCCTGTACTCAGCATTGTAGTTAGGTCCCACAACACATTAGCAGAAGCCATTCAGACATGCTTGACTTAGGGTGTGTACACATTCTACAAACAGAACTAATTCTTTTAAGTTAGTTCCTGATACTAGAGAAAATTCTGGTACAAATCCTCTGAACACCCCACCTATCAGCCAGCAGAGAGATTCAGACTGATTTCACTCAGAAGCATTAGGATTGACTGAATTAAACAAAACCTTTGAAAAGTAGAAAATCATTACTGGTAAGAAATCAAGTGTTCTTTTCTCTATTTCCACATGCTGTGTTCCAGCTCCTCCTCTTCTTTTCACTTTCCACAGTCAATTGATAGGTCTGCAAGTCTTATAATTCTACCACAACAGGGTTTTTGTTTTTTTGTTTTATTGTGAAAATACTGTACAGAGGGGTTACAATTACATGGGCAAGATAGTGAGTACATTGCTTATCAAGCATTGTAGCCTCCTCCTTTGTTTCCCCTTCCCATCCCTTCCCATTCTCCCCCCACGGCCCCCCCCACCAAAGTTGTAAAGTTCATTTTCGACATTACGTCTTGTACATCTCATTGTTGCAATGGGTCCACCTGTATCCCTAGTTAAACGATTTGTTTTTCCCCTTCCCCTCCACAAATTATACCTACATCAAATACAGTGAAATAGGGGTTATACTGTGGGGGAGAGACATACAAAGCAACAAAGAAATAATCTTATAAATGTCACAACAGGATTTTTTTGTTGTTTATTTTTTGCCGGCCCTGGGGCTTGAACTCTGGGGGGTGCTGTCCCTAAGCTTCTTTTGCTCAAGGCTAGTACTCTACCACTTCAGCTACACCTCCACTTCCAGATTTTTGGTGGTTAAATGGAGATAAGAGTCTCACAGACTTTTCTGCCAGGGCTTCAAACTGCAATCCTCACATCTTGGCCTCCTGAGTAGCTAGGATTACAGGCATGAGCCACTGGCACCAAGCTACAACAGGAATTTGTTGTCATTGTTGTTAGTTGTCTGGACTATAGTCTAAAGACTTTACTATGCTTTGAGAGAGTCAAATAACAGTATTGGAAGATTTTCTTTTCTCTTTTTTTTTGTTGCTCATGGGGCTTAAACTCAAGAGCCTGGCTCTGTCCTTGAGCACTTCTGCTCAAGGCTAGTGCTCTACCATTTTGAGCAATAGCTCCACTTCCACTTTTCTGGTGATTAACTGGAGATGAGTCTCATGGACTTTCCTTCCCAGGCTGGTTTTGAACCACAATTCTTAAATCTCAACCTCCTGAGTAGCTAGGACATTTTGTATTTTTTTTTTGGTCGGTCATGGGGCCTGAACTCTGGGCCTGGGCACTGTCCCTCAGCTCTTCAGCTCAAGGCTAGTGCTCTACCACTTGAGCCACAGTGCCACTTCTGGCTTTTTTTTCTGCTCATGTGGTGCTGAGGAAACGAACCCAGGGCCACATGCATGCAAAACAAGCACTCTACCACTGAGCCATCTTCCCAGCCTGGCTAGGATTTTTTAAATAGGCATGTGCCACCAGTGCCTAGATTTTCTTTTGATTTCCACAACAATGGAAGACCATTGGTTACCAGGGGTTATGTGGATGTAAGGAATGTCTAGGAGAATCTCAAAATAACACTTTGATGCAGAATTCATAGATGTGAATTGATTTTGTAATTGATTTCTTAAATTAAAATTTGTTATTTCATTGCAGAAAACAATGAACATCAATCAAATCATGGAAAGAAAATAAATGTTGTGGAGATAGACAAATCCATGAAGTGGTTTCAATTGATTTTGTGACAATTATATTGAATTCCATAAACTCATGAGCTTTGGCAAGTTGCCAGTACTCCTGAACCTGACTGACATATTACTGTTGGGTTTAATCATAGAAAATAGCTACAACTAAAAACTCACTCACCAAAGGACTCACACTAATGACGGGAAAATGTTTCTGCAATGATTTCCACAAAATACCCTGGCATTTGTTTGGGTCCTTACTATGAAAGTCAATCATTCACGGTTGCTTCCTTCCTTTCAGCTTTCCTAAAAACAAAGCCTTTCTCTGTGGTGACATCTGCTTCTCAAGTACTCCGCAGACTAGTTATTACTATGTTTTAAAAAGAGCTTCTCCTGTTTCACTTTGAAATGGATGGAAAAGCAAAAGGCAACATCCATCAGAAGGGGTCATGTCAGCAGGAAGTTTAACTAACTTCAAATCTTAAATGCTAGATGGACTAGAGCTTATAGCAAGCCTCCCAAGGTATGGTGACAAATGTGTCATGTAATTGTCCCCATCCTTTTCAATTCTGTCACCTCTTTTAGCAAATATATCATTTCTCTAATGTATAAACTATAGAGAAATGCACGCATATGTATATTATGTGGATTGGCTAAGTTGTTTCTCAGTTCTTTTTGACTACTTTGCTCATGAAGTAGCTGGAGAGAAACATCTGCTTTCATCCATTTTGAAAATAGTAATAATTATGAAGCCATGATTTTAAAATTTATCATTTCACCATCGTATGTTAGTAATTATTTGTATGTGCACGACAGGATTGGGACTTGAACTCACAGCCTGGGCACTGTCACTTAGCTGTTTTGTTTAATCCTGACACTCTGCCACCTGAGCAAAGATCCACATCTAGCTGAACTAGAGATAAGAGTCTTAGGGACTTTCCTGGACCAGCTTGTTGCCAACTGCAATCATCAGCCTGCTGAGTAGCTAGAATTACCGCATGAACTACCAGTACTCAGCTAGTTTTTGTTGTTGTTGTTTTTTTAAATGTATGTTTCAGGGAGGACAAAAGGAACAGTGATAAGAGGGAATAAACAGAAAGGCAAAGATAGAAAATAAATAGAAAGGCAGAGATAAAGAAAAAGAGACAGAGAGGAAAAGAGAAAGTGAGAAGTTATACAGCAGTTATACAGTTATTTTCCCCTTGATACATAGGTTCGAGACTCCATTGTACTAACTGATGTGAAAAGCAAGTACAGATAAGTCTCTGACTTACAAATGTCTCTTGGCTAGTGATTGACTGACAACTGTTCCCTTTGTAGACTTTAAAATAATATGAATCAGTATCTGTAAGTGGAAAGGGGTATTTTGAATTCTGATCATGAGACAATATTAGCAATCTGATCTATCCAGAAGGCCAAGGTCTGAGGATCACAGTTCAAAGCCAGCCCTGGCAACAAAGTCCTTGAGACTCTTATCTACCATTAGCCACAAAATGGGATGGAAGTGGACCTGTGGCTCAAGGGGTAGAGTAATAACCTGGAGCAGACAAACTTAGGGACAGTGTCTAGGCCCTGGGGTCAAACCCTATGACTGGTACACAAAAAAAAAAAATTGAGCATAGGTTTTAAGTGTGCAAATTCATGGATTTTACATAGGTACATATGTAACTATGTATGTGAAACTCCTGAAATGCTACCCAAATCAAAAGCTATAATACTTCAATATTCAAAAAAGAACCCATTCTTCTCAGCTAACAAACACCTGAGTCACATAGAGCTCATGTCCAAATACTAGTTCTACACCTTCTCCTACCAAAGATGTGTTTTCTTTGCCCTGTGTACCCATACTTGGAGTGTGGCCAGTGTCCTTTTACAGCCAGCCTGTGTCTCTGAGAGCTCTTCAAACTCTGTACATAATGCAACAGTTGCCTATCTGCTTTCTACTGCTGTCCATCATCTCATGGTCTACATTTTACCAGCTAAACAGGTGTTGTGATTGAAGTGTCATCGATGTCCTTGTCCACTCTGAGGGGTGGGGTCCATGAGGGCTAGGACTCAGCCTTTTACTCAGTCTCCCTACTTCTGTTTCCCTACTTTAGGGTCTCAGCAATCTTCATCAATGGCCTGGGACCCTGGCTCCCTGAAGAGCTCTCAGTGCATCTGTAATGGTCTAGAATATTTGCTACAACTCCAAACCAGATCTTAAGGACTTCCATGATTTGGCCATCATCACCTACCCAGGCTTACTGTGGTCCAACTGTGAGATTAATGACCTCCCACAGCCTCTCATCCAAACACACCATGTTGAAAATGAACTAGTGGGACTGGGAGGAAAAAACTGGGAGACAGCAAGAGAACTCTGGCATTGTCCAAGAAAACATGTACACATTACCTGGTGAATGTAATAACCCCTCAGTACAAGAAAAAAAGTTTAAAAGAGAATTACCTCAGAAAATCCAGAAGTTACTTGGGTATATTTTAGTGGGGACATCTGGGGTAGAGAGGGGACAAGGAATGTTCTCATTTCTTCTGTGCTCGCTGCTCACAGTCCAGGGCTTTCGCTCTCTTAGGAGTTCAATGAATCTATTTTGTGGTCCATTCATCATTCCATAATAAATCCCACACTTAGGAGGAAGCTGTCCTTTGCTTGTATGAAATAAAAATCATTTTAGAGTAAATTAACATTTCTCTCCCAAATTTCCATTGACATAGCACTGACCCTTAGCTTTTCCATTCAAGGCTGGCACTCTATCACTTGAGCTACAGTTCCATTTGCAGCTTTCTGCTGGTCATTCAAGGGAAGAATCTGTTTTCTGCCTGGAATGACTTTAAACCAAGATCCTCAGCTCTCAGCCATCTAGGATTACAGGTGTGAGCCACCAGTGTCCATCGGATGACCACAGGCAGCACGTGACACATTCTCTTTCACTGTTGACTAGTTCTCAGAATCTAACCTGGTGCTCTGCAGTTATTTGAAGCCCTCTGCAGGGAGGTGTTCCATCATCTCGTTCTTTCTTTAAAATCTCACCACTTGCCTACTAAGGGAGATTTAGAAGTGCCTGAGAAGCTTTGGGAAAGATGGAGGCCGTGGTCCATCCAGTAACTGTCAACTGTCAGGGGAGGCAGGGTTCTGCACAGGGAATGAGCGGGGGAGGGCCACAGGGAAGAAGGGGGACTAGTGTCTTCACACCAATGGTCACCAGGCCCTGGAGCCTCTTCTCCTCGGAGAAGTTTTGCTCTTTTAGCTTTTAGAATAAACTTCTTTGGGGCTTGTGTCCCATTCCTTTGTTTTGGCTCCTTTACCTTTTCATCTGGTTAAACCTCCTAAAAGACAAGGCAGCCCACCACACTCTGGTCAGGGGACTATACTGTCTCTGTCTCACTATCTCTGTCTGTCTCTGTCTCTCTCTTCCCCTCCTCCTCTCTATCTCTGTCTCACTCTGTGTAGCTCTCTCTTTCTCTCTCTCTCTCTCAATCTTTGAAGCTCTCCACTCTTTGAGACTGAGTGTAAAGATGAATTTTAATCCTACCTGTTTAGTTCTAGACTAACCAGGGGGAAGCAGAATGGCTCTGTGAGCAGCTGGATGAGAGTGCAGGTTCCTGAGTGTGCCTTTCACTTGGGTCTGCTAAAATTGCAAGTACACCCTTCTTCTGGTGGTGTAAGCCTCCCATCAAATTGTGTGAGTCAACTTAGAGCAGATCTGCACTGAAATGCCCAGTAGGTTGGCCACTAACCTGTGTGAACAGAGGTGGATGGGGCTGGGAAGGTGGCTCAATGGTAAAGTACTTGCCTCACATGCATGAGGCCCTGGGTTCAATTCCTCAGCACCACATAAACAGAAAACACTAGAAGTGGCACTGTGGCTCAAGTGGTAGAGCGCCAGCCTTGAGCTGAAGAGCTGAGGGACAGCGCCCAGGCCCAGAGTTCAGGCCCCACAACCAAGCAAAAATAAAAACCAAAACAACAACAAAAACAGAGGTAGAGGTATAATTTGGCCACAACAGGAGCTACCCACCCTCCCACCCTTGCTCTCCTAGCCTCTTCCTTCATAGGGCCTGACCCAAGAGGTTCTGACCTGTGGACACCCTAGACCAGACGACAAGACGGAGCCTGAAGACACACATTCCTTCACGGTATGTGTTGATTCTCCTATTCCATCTAGGTATTGTTCTCAGATGAGAAGACATCCCCACCCACCAGCAGGTTGTGCTTGTGCTGGCCAGGTCCCTCTTCTCAAGGTGTAGCCTGCTAGAACTTCCTGAAGGTTGCAAATCCTGCAAAATTGTAAGACAGGGCAGATACTAGGCCACAGATGGAGAAAAGTGAATGAAAGAAGTGGTATCTTAACACTAACTCTAATTCAATTTCAGAGATCTTATAAACCCAAGTAAAATATCATTTACATACTGCAACTGTATATCTAGAGCTCTGGGTAAAAGTTAGGTGTAATAAAATGCTGGAAAAATTCCTCAACTCAGGAACAAGACAAGAATGTCCACTCTCTCCACTTCTCTTCAATCTAGTAATAGAATGCCTACCTACAGCAGTAAGATAAAATGCAAACATAAAGGGGATCAAAACAGGGAAAGAAGAAGTAAAACTCTCCCACTTTGCAGATGACATGATCTTGTTTAAAGAATCCCACAGACTCCACTCCCAAATTAATCAAGCTGATTCAAAACTTTGGCAAAGTAGCAGGGTATAAAATTAACCCTCAAAAATCAATGGATTTTCTATAGGCCAACAATGAAAAGAGCGCAGCTGAATTTTAGGAAAGCAACTCCATTCGTAATAGCTCCACAAAAAATTAAATACCTAGGAATTAACTTAACCAAAGAAGTGAAGGACCTCTATAATGAAAACTTTAAAAACCTGAAAAAGGAAATCAAAACAGAACTTAGAAAGTGGCAAAAACTCCCATGCTCCTGTATTGGAAGGATCAACATCGTGAAAATGGCAATACTTCCCAAGGCTATCTACAAATTCAATGCACTACCTATCAAAATTCCAACTTCATTCTTCAAGAAAATAGAAGAGACAATCCAAAACTTCATATGGAACAATAAAAGACCCCGAATAGCAAAAACGCTCCTCAACGGAAAGAACACTGCTGGAGGAATATCAATACCAAATTTCAAACTCTACTATAAAGCCATAGTAATCAAAACAGCTTGTACTGGCACAAGAACAGACCTCAGAACCAATGGAATAGAATTGAAAACCCAGAAACCAACCTACAAACATATAGCCATCTAATCTTCAATAAGGGAGCTAAAAAATTAGAATGGAAGACAGACAGCCTATTCAGTAAATGGTGCTGGCAAAATTGGTTAACTACTTGTAGAAAACTAAAGCTAGATCCTTCTATATCACCCTGCAGCAGAATCAACTCCAAATGGGTCAAAGATCTCGAAGACAAAGCAGACACTCTGAAAGCATTTCAGGATGGAATAGGAGAAAGCCTAGGTCTCCTTGGCACAGGTATAAATTTTTTTTTATTGTGCTAAATTTTCTTAATAGAGACCCAGAAACCCAACAATCAAAGAATGGTTGGACAAATGGGATTGCATGAAATTACAGAGCTTCTGCATGGCAAAGGACATAGCTAGCAAGATCAATAGAAAGCCCACAGATTGGGAGAAGATCACTAACCATACAACAGACAAGGGTCTCATATATCTAAAATATAACTGGAACTCAAAAATTAACTCCCCCAACAACAAACTGTCAAAGAAACAATTGCCCAATAAATAAGTGGGCTAAAGACTTAAAGAAACTTCTCTGAAGAGGAAAGAAGGATGGCCAATAGACACATAAAGAAATGCTCAACCTCCCTAGCCATAAAAGAAATGCAAATCAAAACAACATTGAGATACCACCTCACCTCAGTTAGAATGACTATAATCCAGTACTCTAATAACAACAGATGCTGGAAGGGATGTGGACAGAAGGGAACCTAACTGCATTGTTGGTAGGAGTGTAAACTTGTTCAACCACTTTGGAAAGCAGTATGGAGGTTCCTCAAAAGACTCCACATAGAGCTACCAGCAATCCCACTTTTGGGCATTTACCCAAATGTTTACAAACAAGACCACACTAAAGCTACCAGCAAGACTATGTTTATTGCAGCATTATTTACCATTCCTAAGATATGGAACCAACCCAGGTACCCCTCAGTAGATGAATGGATCAAAAAAATGTGGTATATATACACAATGGAATTCTATGCCTCCATTAGAAAGAATGACATTGCCCCACTTGTTAGGAAATGGAAAGACTTGGAAAAAATTATATTAAGTGAAGTAAGCCAGTCCCAAAGAAACATAGGTCCCATGGTTTCCCTTATTTGCAATAACTAGTATATGTCTGAGTCAAGCAGAAAAGGTCAGATAAGATGATGTTAGGGAAATGAACCCTAAGATATGTATTCAAATGTTTTTTTCTTTCATGGGATTGTTTCTAACACATTTATAAGATTATTTCTTTGTTGCTTTGTATGTCCCTCCACCACAGTATAACCCCTGTTTTCACTGTATTTGATGTCGGTATAATTTGTGGAGGGGAAGGGGAAAAAACAAATCGTTTAAACAGGAATTCAGGTGGACCCATTGCAACAATGAGATGTACAAGTTGTTATGTCGAAAACAAACTTTACAACTTTGGTGGGGGGCGGGGGAGAGGATTGGGTGAGGGGAAAGGCGGGGAGGGGAAGGGGAAACAAAAGAGGAGGCTACAATGCTTGATAAGAAATTGTACTCCTTATCTTGCCCGTGTAAATTGTAACTCCTCTGTACAGTATTTTCACAATAAAAAAAAATAAAATAAAATGCTCGGAATAGGGTAAAAGAGCTATTAATTTAGAAGACAACACTCTGAGACTGGTTAAAATTTTTCAAGTTGTTTGCCAGTAGATCACAACTATAAATAGAGCTCTTCGTGAGTCTGAGATCTGAGGATTGCAGCTCAGAGCCAACCAGGGAAGAAAAGTCTGTGAGATTCTATAATCAACCAGCAAAGTGCTGGACTGGATGAATTGTGGCTTGATTGGCAGGGTGTATCCATGAGCATGTAAGTATGAGGCTTCTATGTTCAAGCCCCAGTACCAAGCAAGTGTTCCTTCCAAACATTATAATCAACATTAAAGAGAGCTATAGATGTTTCTATTCGAGGAACACAACCTTCACGCTCCTGTGTGTTCCTGTGGGAGAAGGAGCCTTGCGTAATGGCAGATCCTCAGACACTTGTTCCTTAAAACAATGATTACACCTGTAATATTACCTAGCTACTCAATAGGCTGAGATATGAGGATTATGGCTCAAAGACAACCCGGGCAGGAATGTGCATGAGACTCATCTCCAATTAACTGCTAGAACACAAGAAGTGGAGTTGTGGCTCAAAGTAGTAGAGTGCTAGCCTTGAGCCTTTTTGCTTGAGTTTTCAAATGGGCTCTTGCATTATAACCAGTCTTGTCTGTGCTGGGTTCCTTCTATTCATGGGATGGCAAGTGTGTACTACCACATGCAGCTATAGGTTGAGACGGGGGTCTCTCAAACCTTTTGCTAGGACTGGCTTAACATGTCAGATCCTCCTGATCTTGCCTTGTGTTAGCTAGAAAT